AAAATGTCAGCCCATTCAACCGCAGCATTTTATTCACTTACATCACTGTAGCTTGAACCAGCAGTTTATTTCTGGAATGAAATCCACAAAGAACGGTGATTTATTTTTCATGTTATAAAAACTTCACAGTCTTCATTCTTCAGGTGTGATTGCCCACTTATGACGTTATAAAGTCAGATTTCATTGGTCACTCAAAAATACAAGCTACACATTAACGTTTCATAGCCAAAACCAAGCTTTTGTTTGGAAACTTGGGCCTTTAATTTTTCACATTACCTTACACTTTCCTGTTAAAAGAGAAATTTTCTTTCCCATTGCTGCCAATCATTGTATTGTATTATTATAGGACTGTCATGACACAGTTGTAACTGTAATGTAATAAATTAATTTAGTACAATAATGGATTGCAGTATGTTACTTTAGACGGTGTTACACCTGTTACAGAAGGTGAGTATGATGGCAACTACACTTTACTGTCAAAATTATTCACTCACCCATGCAGGTTGTTTGTATCTATCTATCTATCTATCCATCCATACGGTAGAGTTGCAAGTTCAATCATAGGCACATATGTTGAAGTCTAATCACACTAATCACTTATAATCTGTAATTGTACCTATTCGGGGTACGTCTCACTGTTGGGATAGACTGCAACCCTACTATTAGCTGCTAAGAAAAATAATTACAGAGTCAAAAAAACATGTCATTTCTGAGGCTCCATATATATTTTTAAAAGAAATGTAATCTGTTTCAGGTGGTAGGAATGCTATCATGACATGACGGCCATAATGCCCTCTAGTTTTAAACTCCAATTAGCAGAGGAATCCTCTGAATGGCTGTGAAGGCCATAGCATTTAATTTCATATCTTTTTTTTCCCCTCCATACTAATCAAACCTTCCTGTGACCTTATGTCTCCAGTCTAGCAGCATTTGCATACATCATGCATCTTTACTCATTTATTCAGAAATCACTCTTTGTGGGCGAGAGATCACTGGATTGTTTGAAGAAGAATATATAGCTGAAAAAACATATTCATCTGCTTTCAAAGGATCTTTGAGA